ACTCACAACAGCACGCATCCATCTTTCAGCTGAGTCTTAACACAGCCGCGATACAATAAGATTTCCCTTTATAGATGGTTCAGAAAGTTAATGTGAGCCTGACAGACTCTGGCTTGGTGTGTATAACTCAATGAAAGTGAAGATGCTTTGAGTCCGTGACAAACCCGAGGGAGTCTGCTCTGTTTCCCACCAATAAAATGCTTTCAGCTCAGACACTCGCTGAATGTTTCATGCCAAGTCTTTTTTTAATTTTTCTTCCATCTGCAACACAAATCAAACAGATGCTATGAATGGTATGTAAAGTTTCAACTGATTTTTTTTTCCCTATCAATTCATTGTGACAACATGTGAGCAATGATCTGTTTTCCTCTTTTTCTAAATGTTTTTTTTTAACTCCTGGTCATGGAATCATTTTGAGCACACAAACTAAAAAAAGGATTAAAAGGATCTTTTGAGATTCTGTGAAAAGCTTATGAATAATTTACATCTGTTGTAAAAATGCTTTTGAACAACCTCAGTCAGGAAAAAAAGTTTTTTTTTTCTGAGTTGAAAGGAACAGTGTGTAGGATTTGTTGTTTTCAGCGACATCTAGTGGTTGAGTGGTTGAATCATCCTCCCTGGTCCTCCCCCCACCCCCACCCCCCGCTTCCAAACACAAAGGAGTTGCTACAGTGTCTCTCAGGTGTCAAAAACCTTTGATAATTCCAACCGCGATGTCTACCAGCAGCTTCAGGGCTAGTGATGTTTCAAGTGGTAAGATTATGAGCTTTAATAAGTAAAATMATCCCAGCTACAATGACAGACAACAAATATTACATTTATAGTATTACAACTAAAACCGTTTTTGACGCCGCCACCGCAGTTTGTCCTTCATGAGCCTTCGTAGACAAGATGGCGGCTGCCGGTGTGGCGACCCGCGGCCGGTGGAGATATAAACAGCTTTTTATAAGGTAAAAATAATAAAACAAGGTCTTTGTCTGCAATGATTAGACATGTTTTTTATTATTGTCATTAGTGATTATCTCAATTTCGGCTAAAAGAATTGGCAACATCCTACACACTGTGCCTTTAACAAGCTAACAGATTAAACAGCTAAGTGTATTGCTGCCATCTTCAAACAACTGCTACTTCAAAAAGAGATAACAGTTTTATAAATCTTAATGTGGACTCTTCTGCATTGCATACATGGACATTTGTGGTCATTTGCTAGCAGATATAGCAGCAGCAGCTAGCTGTAGCACTTTTGATGCCTGGTGCAGAGTACTCTCCCGCTAATCATGCCGACAACGTATCTGCCACAATACTCATACAATGAGAAATTGACAGCAGTGTAAATGTTTATAAAATATTTGTCATTTGGTATTGACTCCACTTGGACTCCATCTTGCTGCTGTTTTTTTTTTTTTTTTTTTTTTTTGCGTGGTCATTAAGGATATAAATATGTCTCAGTCATCCAAGACATTACAAATCTAGAAAGTTTAAAAAAGTCCAGCTGAAGATTTGCAAAGTTCCAATTTTTAAACTGCATGACATCCGTAACACTAATATCAGTATTTGGACTGATACTACGGAGCAGGTCCGGTGACACTGGATTAAAAAAATGCATGTGTGGACACACATTTCTTTATTTTTTTACGTCACTGGATGAGCAATATACGGTATGACCATTTAGACTAGTTGCTTTGAAAAACTTCAAGCTCCAATTTATGCAAAAGATTAGGTTCTATTAAAAAACAAAACAAAAAACATATTTGTCAGGTTCAGACTGTCTTGTAAAAAAACAAGTACAGATCACATATGGACAACATTGAATTGAATGTAGCATTGCAATATAGCTGTTAGCTTGATCAGAACTAATAAGTTGACTACTTCTCTAGAGCTACGACAGGTAAGATATTGTAACGACTGCGCATCGACTCAAGCACCAGACGGTTTGCACTCACCAGCGTTCTTTTATTTATTTTTTTGTAGGGAACAGGTCTACAAACTCCGAGCAGTCTCGGCCGTGGCTCACATCCAAAATCACCGAAACTCACGCTCTCTCTCTCATTTCAACTCTCGCGCGCACACACCCAAGGTAAAACCACACCCCTAACA